CCCAGAAATTCACAGGGCACATAGTTTATGTTAACAGGAGAAAAACATGGCAAGGAACAGATTTTCAGATAAGATACTCAATATGGTAAGGCAACAAAACACAAACACAATTGTTTTTCTTTTTAAAAATACTTATCTGTAGCATTCACTGAAACATAATTTTAGGTTTCTAGTGTCCTTATTTCATGCTACATAACTGTAGGGTGTAGTATTTATTTGTAGCACACTGTGGCCAAATTAAGGTTCCCTCTCTAAAATAGGTATTAAAGCAGTAAACCACAGTGCTAATTTTGGGAGGGAAAAAAGATTTGGCACGTAACATTATAGCATTAAAATGTCATCTGCTATGATTTTCAAATACAAGAAACTAAGTTCAAATCTGTAGTTCACTTAATGAGAAAAAAATTACAAAACAGGTTAAATAAGTCAACTAACTCTCACACAAGTACCTAACTAATTAATTCTTTGTAATAAACTGAACTCATCAAAATAAAACTTTTTAATAGCATTAAGAAAAAATTTTTAAAATAATTTTTAAGTCATCCCCTCCACTAATGAAATGGCAATTAGTAACTAAGGAGTCGTCAACAAGTCTATTACTACAGAACTAAATACACTCTTTTCATGAATTCCCTATGCAGTGCACAAATCCTAAAAGAACACTCCTGGCACTCTGGAATTGTGATGTGTAATCAATCTTAACTTTTCTCAACACAAATCTGCTTCCTGTCTGTGGGAAATAAAACCTCCAGAAGGTTAAAAAGTGCGCATACCCCATGTGAGCGACGATGTGAAGAGCTGTGGTGGATCCTGTGTTTACTTTTGTAGCTGCTCCGTCCACTTCTACCAGAGGACTTGCTACTATGGTTCTGATACCGGCTTTCGTGCTCTCCATAGTAATAGCCCGGCTCACAGCCCATATAGTCGTTCCTGTACTCATCAACGTAGCGCCGGCTATGATAGGCTCTCTCGTTTATGGATCTGCTCCCCAGATAATAGCTACAAGAGAAGATTGCTTTATACACCAAAACAAAACACACAAAACCCAACACCGATTCCCAAGTTCTCGGCAGCGTAGGGGACTGAACTCAAGGCCTTTGCCCAAGCTAAGTATTCCACCACTCATCTCTGACCATGCAACTGAGTCACCGCAGTTATGTGGTCCCAGGCTTCACGCACAGCAGGCAACCTATCAACATCTGAGCTAGCTACGTTACTAGCTGCTTTTCAAGACAGGGTCTCTGTGTGGTCCTGGCTGCCCTTGAGATCCGCCTGCCTTTGCCTCTGAGATTAAAAAGGCGTGTGCCATCACTGTTCAGATGAAAAAAAAGGAATTTTCTTAATGTGCAGATGTAATTTTGATCACATGCATGCGCCTTTCTGTACAGGTATTGCCCAGGAGTGTAGGAGAGGGCACTGGTCCCGAGGAGCCGGAGTTACAGGTTATACTGAGTGTGCCTGAAGAGCTGGGACCCAACTGTCTTCTGCAAATGCTGCCAGTACTCTGACCCGCTGCCCCCCTTACCCATCAGTTGTTCTGGAGTGATCGTATCTGCATCGCTTATGCTCCCGACCACTGCTGTGTGATCTCCTTCTCTTATGGCTGCTGCTGTTCCAGGCTCCATAATCGCAATCCCTCTCATCCCAGGCATGATAGTAAGTTCTCTGTAGATGTCTCATCTACACAAGACAAATGGTCCTAATGAAATTTGATTTCTGCGACGTTCACTAGTAAAAGCTTCCTTTGCAAATTCACGCTAGTTTTGATTTGTTTTTTCTTTTCTTCCCCAAATAGTCTCCCTCTAGTGGTCCTGGAACTAAGTAAACCACGCGGGCCTTGACCTCAGATCTGCCTGCCCCTCCCTATGCAGGGCTAGGATTAAAGGCATATCATGCCCAGCGCTGGCCTTTTGTTTTAAATGTAAGTTTTGAAATTGTTGTCAATCATTTGAAATCATAAAAATTACTGCACTGGGGCTGGAGAGACGGCTCAGAGGTTAAGGGCATTGCCTGCTCTTCCAAAGGTCCTGAGTTCAATTCCCAGCAACCACATGGTGGCTCACAACCATCTGTAAAGAGATCTGACGCCCTCTTCTGGCCTTCAGGCATACACACAGACAGAATATTGTATACATAATAAATAAATATTTTTTTTTTTTTTGGTTTTTCGAGACAGGGTTTCTCTGTGGTTTTGGAGCCTGTCCTGGAACTAGCTCTGTAGACCAGGCTGGTCTCGAACTCACAGAGATCCGCCTGCCTCTGCCTCCCGAGTGCTGGGATTAAAGGCGTGCGCCACCACCGCCCGGCAATAAATAAATATTTTTTAAAAAAGTTACTGCACTGTCTCAGATTCTGGAATCTGAATTTTATTCTCACATTTTCTACCTCGTTCTCACCGTGCCCAAATTTATAAAAGTAGAAAAAGAGGTTTCTAAATAGCCCAGGTAAGATTTTTAACACTACCCTTCCAGAAGGTTCACACAATTCAATCCCCACAAAGCACCCGGAACTAACCCTAACTAACTTTTATCTGTTTAGATGTGTTTGTTACAGCTCAAAACTGCCGTTCCAATGGTGACCTCATTTTTAATGCTCCTTCAAGTAAATCTCCACCGTTAGCAGAGGGAGACAGGGAAAAAATATGGAGACGTGGTTGGGGGGGAGCCCGAGAAGGAAAATATATGTATGCCGAACTGCCTTGCCTTTCGTGCTGAGCCAGCAAACTTCAGGCTTCACTAATAAATACAACCAATTTGCCGACAGGGCAGCCACGACGATGACGGCAATGAAATTGTTTACTGAGGAGAAGGTGATTCACACTCGTAGCGCGCTCCCCTCCCGTTTCCTAAAGGTAAACAATGTCCCTTCCGAGTACGTTTTACAACTTTCGTTTACGAAGGGAAAAAAAATAATTTAACCTTTAATACTGTTGTTACAAAGTACACCCTCTGAGCCCTGTCGAAATAAGGATTTCACAATCTCTGGAGCCGCCTAAATCCTAAACTCGTCTTTACGAGCCCTGCGCCTGCGCTTTCTGCACCAGCTCAACTGGATTCCTTAGTTCTTTCTTCCCCGAGGCCGGCTTTCGCCTTGGGGGGACTCTCTAAGCTGTCCCCACAGCGCCCACACCGGCCTGCGGGGACCCCCTGGGCCCCAAAGACAGAAAATCGGCCCCGAAACCGGGTTTCCGAGAGCGAGCCGCGCGGAGGCCGCGCCCTGGCGACGCCATTCCGCGGGGCGAGCGCGGCCCGGGCGCCTCCGCCATCTTAGGCGCGGCCGCTACCGGTACCGCTGCCGCCGGGGGCCCTGGTTCCGCCCTCGCTCGGGACGCCCCGGCGGTGGCACCGTCCCCGCCACCGGGCAGATCCGGAGGCGAGGGCTCGGCGGGGCTGAGCGGAGGGAGCGGCCGCCATGGGAACGGGGAGCCGGCCCAGCACCGCGACGCTCAGCGCGGCCCTCAGAGCGCACAGCGGGGCAGCGTACGCTCGGACCCCGTGGCTTACCTTTCCGCAGGGACGCCGACCGCGGTGACAGAATTCGCAAGGCGACGGCGGGAAGGGCGAAGGCGACAGAGACAGCGACGACGACACAAACTCCAGGCACAAAATGGAGCTGACGGCGCCGGCGCAGGCTTCTTCTCCAAAACGCGGATGACGCGGAGGGGCGGGGCCAGTGTGCGCCCCGAGTGCGCAGGCGCGGGCCAGCGGTTGGGGGGAGGGGGGGCAGTGGTGCTTTTCCTAAGGCTTCCTTCTGAGGATCCCTTTCCACACTGCAATCACGGTGCTGGTCTCCTCAGCTCTCACAGAAAAACCTGATCTGACTGCACTGCAAAAGGCGAGGGAAGCAAGGTCAGAAGGAGCACGCGCCCTGATTGCAACCGTTTAAATGGTTTTTTTTTTTTTTTTTGATTTTTGTGTTTCGAGCCAGGGTTAGTTTCTGTCGTTTTTTATTAGATTCTGCAGCTGTTTGGTCTGCATTTCCTGTCTACTGCGATGACATTTACCTTCTCAGATCTCTGATGGAGTTGATGACCAGGCTGGTGGGAGTTTTGTCGGTTTAACAGCAGCAACCAAAGCTTCAGCTATGTCTTGTAAGACCCCAACTCAAAAAGCCTGCTTGCAACTGCTTTAAGCATTTGCCCTAGGTGGATGACAATCAGCAGTGGAAAAGTACAAAACTTGCAGAACAGCCCTAACTGCCACTTGCACCCTGACCACAGTTCCCTGCCCCACCCGCCTGCCAGGAAACACCTGATGGTGAGCTGAGCTGAGGTGAACTGAACTGGGGTGAGCTGGACACAAGGGACAGGGTTTGGTTTTTTTTTTTTTTAAGATTTAAAAAAAAGGGGGGGGGGGCGCTGGAAAGATGGCTCAGAGGTTAAGAGCACTGGCTGCTCTTTCAGAGGTCCTGAGTTCAATTCCCAGTAACCACATGGTGGCTCACAACCATCTGTACTGAGATCTGGCGCCCTCCTCTGGTGTGTGGACTTACATCGAGGCAGAATGTTGTATACATAATAAATAAATAAAAAAAAAGATTTATTTATTATGCATACAGTGTTCTGTCTGTCTGTATGCTTGCTAGCCAGCAGAGGGCACCAGATCTCACTACAGATGGTTGTGAGCCACCATGTGGTTGCTGGGAATTGAACTCAGGAACTCTGGAAGAGCAGCCAGTGCTCTTAACCGCTGAGCCATCTCTCCAGCCCCAATCAGCATTTTATTAAACAAGCACAAGAAACAAATGTTTCCAGGGTAAAACTGATGTTAGTTATTCAAACAGAACCAGATGAGAATACTTCACAGATGTGCATGGGGGAGATGGCTGGATGGGAGGCCATACGCTGTTAAATGAAACTAAGATTATGTGATGGCTAACATTGTTTTAAGTTTAAATTTCTCTGTTTAAGAGGCCTGTTTTTTGTTTGTTTGGTTTTTCTTTTGGCTTTTTGAGGGGCCTACCACCCAGCTCCCAAATAAATCACACAGGGAGGCTTATTCTTAGTTATGAATGTCCAGCCTTAAAAAAATAAGGCATTGCTTTGTATTTAAACACTGAATAACAGCAGTGGTACAGAATGTGCTCATGACTGGGGGTGAACACTATGGGCCCCATGACAGATGTCATTACTGGAAACACCAGAAGGATAAAGGCCAATGGGCACATCCCAGTGACGAGCTTGCCAAGTGTCTGTCTGGGCCTGCGGTAGCTACTGAGCAAATGGGTTGGCATGGATAGTTATGTCCTTGATGTGCACATCATTGAGAGGTCTGTACGTCTTCTCGTTCACTGGTAACTTCTCCAGTTCATCCAAAGTCTCCAGACCATCTATGACCCTGGAAGAGAAGCAATGTGCTATGAGAACTGTCCTCAGCTTGAAACAGAGTGTCTGCAGCAACTACAGTCTCCAGAGGGCAGTGCTCCATTCAGTGAGACAGTCTCCAGAGGGTAGTGCTCCACTCAGTGAGACAGTGTCTGCAGCAACTATAGTCTCCAGAGGGCAGTGCTCCACTCAGTGAGATACAGTGTCTGCAGCAACTACAGTCTCCAGAGGGCAGTGCTCCACTCAGTGACACAGAATGTCTGTAACAACTACAGTCTCCAGAGAGCAGTGCTCCACTCAGTGACATAGAGTGTCTGTAACAATTACAGTCTCCATGGGGCAGTGCTCCACTCAGTGAGACAGAGTGTCTGCAGCAACTACAGTCTCCAGAGGGGAGCGCTCCACCTCAGTGGGCCTTCACTTCTGATCACGTGGCCTGGCAGGATTGTAACGTCAGTCCCATCCACAGAAGTCACCAAGGAGAGTGAAGTGGCCCTGAACCCAGGGCTTTCTCATTATAACCGGGTGATCTCAAGGACATGTATACATACCTGCTGCTATGGTTTGGAACTTGAGTACCCTCAGAGGTCCACGTGCTAGCGGCTTGGTCACCAGCTTGGGACTACCGGGAGGTACGAAAGCCTTTAAGAGATAGAGTCTAGGTCCCGGGCAGATGGCCGCTGTTTGCAAGAGGATATGAGTTCAAACCCTAGGACACCTATAATCCCAGAGCTGGCTGAGTGGAGATAGGAGGGTTTCGGGGCCTTTCTGGCTAGCCAGTCTAGCTGAAGTCACTGAGAGACTAAGGAAACCACCTGGTAGAACCTCTGCCCCCCCACCCCCACACACGGAAAAGAGATGGGGTATAGCTGGAGGTCTCTGGGTCACAGATACTATGCTTTTAAAAAAGACTGTGGAACCTCATCTCTTCCCCTCTCTTGCTTCTTGGCCACGAAGTGAGGAGTTTGGTCCACCACATGCTTCCATGACGTGCTGAACAGGCCAAAGCCCTGAAGCAAATGATCATGGGCCAAACGTTCTAAAAATGTGTGTGTGTTTTTAAATATTTGTTTATTATGTATACAGTGTTTGACCTGCATGTCTGCCTGCACACCAGAACTCACTACAGATGGTTGTGAGCCACCATGTGGGTGCTGGGAATTGAACTCTGGAAGGACAGCCAGTGCTCTTAACTGCTGAGCCATCTCTCCAGCTCCTAAAAATGTGTTGTTGTTGTTGTTGTTGTTTTTGTTTGTTTGTTTTTTTTAATAAAAAAAGGCCTTTTCTTTTTTAAAAATAATTTACTTTATCTCATGTGCATTGGTGTTCTGTCTGCATACATGTCTGTGTAAGGGAGACAGATCCCCTGGAACTGAAGTTAAAGACAATTGTGAGCTGCCATGTGGGTGCTGGAAATTGAATGCAGGTCTTCTGGGAGAGTAGTCAGTGCTCTTAACTGCTGAGCCATCTCCAGCCCAAAAAAATGCCTTTCCTTAAAACAAAATGGAAGCCTATGCATTTGCGGAGGGAAATGCTTTTATATATTACAACTAAATGCAGCGCAAAGCAAGGATCGGGTTTATAGACACTTACACTTTTATTTTATGTATATGGGTGTTTTGCCCATGTACATTTGTAAATCACATGCATGCAGTGCCCAAGGAAGCCAGAAGAGGGTGTGGTGCCAAGAACTGTTGTTACAGAGGGTGCAAGCCACAATATGGGTCTTCCTCTGGAAGAGCAGCCAGAGTTTCTAACTTAGGAGCCACCTATCTCTCCAGGCCAATGAAGCATGTACTTAAATAAAAGGTGTTGCCAAGTATTTTAAGTTTTGTTACATTTGTTTCTGCTGCAGAACATTTGTTTAGTGATGCAAACATGTGTTACATTCTCTTCTGTTGCATTTTATTTCATCTGTGAAGCTGTGTTACTTTGCCTTTCCAAAACACCTGAGAACGGCCAATTGGCCAGTAGCAAGGCAGGAGAAAGGATAGGCAAGGCTGGCAGGCAGAGAGAATAAAAAGAAGGAGAAAAAGATAAAGAATCTAGGAATGAGGAAAGGGGGAGGACATCAGGGGCCAGCCACCTAACTACACAGCGAGCCACGGAGTGAAAAGCAATGAAAGGATGTACTCACTCATAGGTGGTTTTTAAACATAAAGCAAAGAAAGCCAGCCTACAAACCACAATCCCAGAGAACTTCGACAACAATACGGACACCAAGAGAGACGTACATAGTGTAGAATTTTAGGACAACTCTGAGGCCTCTCAGCAGCAGTGCTCCCCCCTCCCCTGGGAACCAAGGACCTAACAACTACACATGCACGTACTGAAATGTTGGGGATTTTCCATCTCCCTGAGTCTTTGTGAGTGTTCTCCAAATAGAACTCAGTTATTGAATAGGGGCAAGATAACCCTCAGGTGTTGACTCAGTTCCTGGTGTTTTGACTCAGTCCCTGTCACTATTTTTAGATATGTTGTTCTTAATGAAAACAAATGTGTGTGTGTGTGTGTGTGTGTGTGTGTGTGTGTATTAATTTGTTAACTTGCCTAAGCAATTCTTTGGTGGCTCTTAAACAAAATAAAGAAAACGAAGCTCAGATAGTGTATAACTTCTTCAAGGTAAGACAGCTGCTGACTGGTGGGCCTAGAGCCCAGGAACTCTAGCTGTCCACCAGTCTTTCCAGCATGAGCTATGCCATGATCACAGACGTACACGGATGCACCAAGAAGACAACTAGACCACTCACTTTCCAAACACCGTGTACTTCATGTCCAGATGCGGCTGCTTGCCGTAGGTGATGAAGAACTGAGATCCGTTGGTATTTGGGCCATTATTAGCCATAGATACAACACCTCTAACATTGTGCTGAAAAAGACAACCAAGGCATTAATTTAACTGTGCTTTATCAACCGCAAACCCCAAAGGTAGACAGGAACATTCTCAGCCTTCCCAATATTCAGGGGACCAAGAATCATTGAGCTAGTTTCTCTCTCTTAGTATGAATGCAAATGTAAAAGTTATATATTATCTTTTTGTTTGTTTGTTTGTTTTTGAGATAGGGTTTCTCTGTGTAACTTTGGAGCCTGTCCTGGAACTCACTCTGTAGACCAGGCTGGCCTCGAACTCAGAGATCCACCTTCCTCTGCCTCCTGAGTGCATGTATTATCTTTATCCTTGATAATCGTGTCTATAATTTGCTTATGTAATCATATCTTCCAATCAATTCCATTTTCACTGTGAAGAAGTAGACACAAACACTTATTTCTATCAACGTATAATACGTTTGTATTAAGGAATAGTGTGCTGGAACGAATGATCAGGAACAAACCCAAGTCCCTCAAATCTCTTCCTACACACTCGACTCTGCTTGTTCCTTGATCTGCTGCACTAGTTACACTAGTTTAGGGGTCTGCTGCACTAGTTACACTAGTTTAGGGGTCTGCTGCACTAGTTATACTAGTTTAGGGGTCTGCTGCACTAGTTACACTAGTTTAGGGGTCTGCTGCACTAGTTACACTAGTTTAGGGGTCTGCTGCACTAGTTATACTAGTTTAGGGGTCTGCTGCACTAGTTACACTAGTTTAGGGGTCTGCTGCACTAGTTACACTAGTTTAGGGGTCTGCTGCACTAGTTATACTAGTTTAGGGGTCTGCTGCACTAGTTACACTAGTTTAGGGGTCTGCTGCACTAGTTACACTAGTTTAGGGGTCTGCTGCACTAGTTACACTAGTTTAGGGGTCTGCTGCACTAGTTATACTAGTTTAGGGGTCTGCTGCACTAGTTACACTAGTTTAGGGGTCTGCTGCACTAGTTACACTAGTTTAGGGGTCTGCTGCACTAGTTATACTAGTTTAGGGGTCTGCTGCACTAGTTACACTAGTTTAGGGGTCTGCTGCACTAGTTACACTAGTTTAGGGGTCTGCTGCACTAGTTACATTAGTTTAGGGGTCTGCTGCACTAGTTACACTAGTTTAGGGGTCTGCTGCACTAGTTACACTAGTTTAGGGGTCTGTCCAAACGCTCTCAAAGGCCAAGCAGATGGCAAACTTACATTTGGGCAGGACAGAGTCCCTTGCCCGAGGGCTCTTTTCTTAATGGCCACAGAGAATGCATCTGTGGCTCTTCCCCCAGAGGGGATGATCTGAGGAAGCCTCGCCTAGCTCTAATATCAATACTACTAGTTTACAAGGTATGGTACATAAGACTTGAAAGTATCTTACCGAGGTAAATCAGTCTGAGCTGTGCCCAAGTCACCAACAGCAAAGCACAGAGCCAACCACAGATGGCTCCAGCACGAGAGGCTGAGGTACGAGGATTTCTCAGACCAGACTGAACCACACAGCACAAGGACTGAAGGAACCCTTTCATAATTAATGGCACGTGTGTCTTGGAGTGTAAGTACAAGAGCTCCTCTGGCATACAGAGCATGTGAACCTTTAATTCCCATTCTCAACTCTGCTGTGTGAGACAATGGTTTTTTTTGACAGGGTCTCATGTAGCCCAGGGTAGCCACAGATTCATTTTGTAGCTAAGACTGAACTTGGACTTCTGATCCTCCTGCCGCTACCTCTCTAGTGCTGGGGTTACAAGTGTGCACACCATGCCTTGTTCAAGGTTCCCTGCCTGCTGGCCATGCATTCTGTCAACAGTAATGTCCCAGATCAAGAGAGAGATATATCGTAGGCTGGTCTCAAGTTAGTAATCCTCCTGCCTCTTCTTCAGCATTTGCCTATTAACTGGCACTAGTTATTTCTTCTTCTTCTTCTTCTTCTTCTTCTTCTTCTTCTTCTTCTTCTTCTTCTTCTCCTCCTCCTCCTCCTCCTCCTCCTCCTCCTCCTCCTCCTCTTCTTCTTCTATTTTAATGAAAAATAGTTTCTTAGAGCTGGAGAGATGCCTGCATGTATGCTGCAAGCCAGAAGAGGGCACCAGATCTCACTACAGATGGTTGTGAGCCACCATGTGGGTGCTGGGAATTGAACTCAGGTCCTCCGGAAGAGCAGCCAGTGCTGTTAACCACTGAGCCATCTCTCCAGCCCCCACCATTTTTAATTTTTAAAATTTTATGTTTATGACTGTTTTGTCTAAGTCTATGTGTGTGTGTTGGCACATACTCCTACAGATAATTAAAAATAGTACAAATAAACCTTAAAAAAATAAAAAAGTTGGAGGTGCTGATGGCTGACAATGCATGGAGAAGTCTTCCTCCCTTTCCAGAAAGGCCAGCGAGAGGTGGGTGTGGTGCTGCAGCCTTGAATCCGGCACTGAAGGCAGAAACAGGCGGAGCACTCGAGTGGGAGGCCGGCCAGGGCTACAAAGAACTTCAGAAAGCAACCAAACAACAGAAACCCAAGATGGACGTGACTCACGTCATTTAACTCAGACTTCACGATGAGAGACTAAGCCCTTTCCTCTATTACGGGCTGGGCACTTGATGGTGGACCTAAGGACAAGCCCCTTCATGCCCTGATGCAGCTGACACAGACGCCACAGTCTATGCTGGGCTAGAACTGCCACTTACACCCTGCGTGTCACTCACTGAGGACGTGCACACAACAAAAAAGTTGATTTATTTGTTGATATATGGTCTCACCGTGTAGCCTTCGCTGGCCTGGAACTCACTGTGTAGACCAGGCTGGCTTCAAACTCAGAGATCCGCCTGCTGTTGCTTCCCAAATGGTGGGATTACAGGTGTGCGCCACGGATGTGGCACCTGGCTCACAATGACATCAGTGTGTACTGTCGTGTAAACAGGAAGCACAGGCTGTACCTTCAGATACTCGCTGTACTCGTCCTCGAACTTCCTGCCCCAGATACTGCTGCCTCCCCGTCCGGTGCCTGGATAACAAGACAAGCCAGTCAGAAGGAGCGTCTCACTAGACTTCAGCGGGCTCCATTTCCGAGCATGCTTGTTTGTTTATATGGTGTAGGGGGGTCCAACCCAGGGTAATGCACAAGCTGGGCAAGTGCAAACCACAAAGTCACATCTCCAGCCCTAGCAGAACTCTGCATGCATGTGTGCGTGCATGCGTGTGTGCACACACACGTGAAGAAGAGAGAGCTGTTAAAGTCTGCACTCAGGACTCCATGCATGCTACACAAGTATTCGACCCTACCGCTGAGTTACGTATCTCCAGCATTCCCATCTTTTTTCCTTTTAGTTGTTATTTTTAGGTAGGGTTTCCTTAGTTAACCTGTTGACCCTGAATTTACCACCCTCCTGTCTCAGCCTTCCAGGTACCTGAGGTCATAGACCTGTATGCCATCTGGCCTCTAGCACTTACCCCAAATTAACAGTACAGACAAGAAAAGTAAAATCCTCCCAACAAGGAGAAAATCCCCTCATTAATAACTGGTCATATTTTATAGTTGCAGGCTAGTACCTCCTTCTAGAAATATCTTGCTGTTAGGTGGACCTGGTCTATAGAATGAGTTCCAGGACATGTCCCAAGATCTACACAGAGAAAACCTCTCTCAAATAACTAACGAAAGAAAGAAAGAAAGAAAGAAAGAAAGAAAGAGAAAAACAAAAAACACTTAGTGTTTTACAGAGGACTCGGGTTCAGTTCCCAGCATCCACATGGTTGGCTCAAAACCATCTAAGATTCCGGTTTCAGGAAAGCTGATACCTACCTTCCTGCTGACCTAAGCAGTCACCAGATACACATGCAGTGACTTACATACATCTAGGCAAAATACTTAGAAATAAATACACATTTTTTTTTTTCGAGACAGGGTTTCTCTGAGTAGCCCTGGCTGTCTGGGAACTTCCTATGTAGACCAGGCTGGCCTCAAACTCACAGAAATCTGCCTGCCTCTGCCTCCTGAGTGCTGGGATTAAAGCCGTGTACCACCACAGCCCGGCCTAAGAATAAATTCATCTTTAAAGAAACAAAGCCTTAAACTTTACGACTGTCAAAGTAGCCTTGTTACAGTCTCCCTGTTTTATTTTTCAGTTATTGTAGATACTTTTTTTTCATATGACTAAGTTCAGCTAGAGGAAAAACTCACCTGTTGGGTCTCCTGTCTGAACCATGAAACCCTTGATGTTCCTATGAAACACACAGCCGTTGTAGTAATTACTGGCACAAAGAGCCAAGAAATTCTGAAGAGAGAAAAAGAATGACTGAGAAATAGATTTGGCAGAAACATACTTCAGATAAACGTGCAATCCTAGCCCCTGAAGATGCTATCGTGGCACATATAACTATGACTTCTAGGCGTTGGCCACTCCGTCTTCAGCAGGTCCTGGGAAGGCCTACATACTCCATATCTTAAGGAATGGACTCTTTTGCAGGTACTTGATTCCCTACTCTTGCCTTTCCCAGCTGGAGTTCCAGTACCTGAGGGCAGGCAATGTCTCTTGCTCATCATGTACCCTAGACATGGCTGGAAAGTCTTCTGACAAATAGCTGCAGTAGTGAACACTAGCTGACTCCTCTCCCTTTTACCCTTGCCATCTCAACAGGCTGAGTGTTTACAGAACAATTCTCTTACAACTTAATTACAGTTCCTGAAAAAATGAGGCGAAAGAAAAAAGATACTGGACACTTTATGGTTACAGGAAAAGTACCTACCAATTTATATATTTATTTAGTGTGGTATGCATGTAGTATGTGCATTCGTGTGTGTGTGTGTGTGTGTGTGTGTAGGTAGGTAAGCAAGTCCCTGTGCATATGCAGAAGCAAGAGAAGGAAGAGTATCCTAACCCATCACCCTCAAGCTTCTCCCTATGAGACAGGGTCTCCCACCAAACCTGGAGCTGGCTGGTGTATCAGACCCTGTAATCCTCTTCCCGCCAGCACTGGGTTACAGGTGAGCGTGACCACCCAGCATTTTCTGAGTCCTGGGAATCTGAACTCTGCCCCTCATGTTTATATAGCAAGCTCTCTTCCCTGCGGAGCCGACCCCCAACCCATCCTTCGTTCTCTTGATTTAACTCTGACATCACAAGTGGAGACTACACCTGCAACCACGGCACCCCCTCCTGATAGCGGCACCCCCTCCTGATAGCGGCACCCCCTCCTGATAGTGGGCCCACAGAGAGCTTTCTAACTTTCCAGGCTGAATAAACCAACTTCAAAGTGGCTGTCCTGTTATATCAGAGTGTTTCTGTTTAAGTACAGGTTCCACTCTATAGCTCGGCCTGGCCTGGAACTCACGACACAGACCAGGCTGGCCTCTGCGTCCTGAGTGCTGGCCTTAAAGGTGCGCGTCACCACATTACGACACTCACCTCACACGTCTTGGGTGTCCTCTCACAGAAGACTTCTATTTTGATATCTCCCACGTCTGTGTGCAACGTCACAGACTGAAAAAAAGGAGACTGTGAGAACAGGTGATATTTCTTCCAGTAACTACAGGTTCTGTCTTATTTCTGACTGGATATTTAAGAAGGCAATCTGGTTAAAGACATTAAAGACGGCTTGTTCGCATGAAGTGGCTCCAAGAGAAGTCATACTTATTTCTCCAAATTTATTTTTTTTTAATTAATTAATTTTTTTTTTTTTTAATTTTCAAGACAGGGTTTCTCTGTAGCTTTGATGCCTGTCCTGGAACTAACTCTCGTAGACCAGGCTGGCCTTGAACTCACAGAGATCCACCTGCCTCTGCCTCCCAAGTGCTGGGATTAAAGGCGTGCGCCACTACCGTCGGCCCAAATTTATTTCAAAAGGACAAAAACTCTAAAAGATTCATACAGATGAAAAACTGGCATCTCTGCTAAATTTTGGATACAACCATTGTAAATGAAATAACTATTCCTACTTTGAATTTTTATGATTTATTAAAAACAATGGCTTTTTTGTTTGTTTGTTTTTGCATTTGGAGACTTGGTTTCCTGGTGTAGCCCTGGCTGTCCTGGAACTTGCCAGGTAGGCGAGGCTGGCCTCAACCTCACGGAAAGCCACTGCGATTAAAGGCGTACACCACCACTGCACGGCTTTTATTACTGATCTTTACGTCTCAACAGCTCTAATTTAACTGGGAAAATGTTAACAAACTGATTTTTCAAAAATTGTTCCCACCAAGTCCTTTGGGTAGTTTATTTTGAAAAACAGAGTTAAGAAGCAATTCCGTAATTTACTAAAGACGACAACCCAAAATCGTCGGCATTTCCAAGTCTGCGTGCGTGCCGCTGGCCAGTGCTTTCTCCTCTGTTCTTTTCTTGTGTTGATAACTTTACATTTTTCACATCTTATTTCAGAGACAAACAAGAAACTATTTGGAGGTTTCCTTTTTTGGCTATTTGCGTCAGGTCTTGCCATGAAGCCTGGGTTGAACCCACAGTAGCAGCAATCCTCCTGCACCAGCCTCCTGCCTATCCTACTTTGTCCTGTCCAGCCTAGTACACACATCTCTCCTCTCATCCAGGTAAGCACTCCGCCACGGAGCTACACACTCAGTACCTCATTCGACTTCTTAAAAAAAAATCATAATTAAAAGACATGTAATGGGCTGCGGAGATGGCCTGGCAATTAAGAGCCCAGCACTCCCACCAGCTCCAGCTCCAGGGAATCCGACGGGGATAAAAGCAAGCAAACAATCACCCAGCTAGACGAATTCTGAAATACTTACCATCCTCTCTCTCTCGATAGTTCCAGGACGACTTGCAGAGAAAACCTGAAGGTGAGTTCCTAATCCTAAAATAAGGAGGAATTCGTTCATTTCAGCCCTATCTTTCCCGCTATGCTTGTTCATCATGACGGTAGATTTACAAGCTCAGGATAGCATCCTTTGAATAAAACTCCAAACACAGAAGTGTTGAGATCCTACCCAACGCAACAAACTTTCTTTGCTCATTTGCCTCCAAGGTTCTTTCTGCAGGCTAGGCTTATCCCCCACACCCCCACCCCCAACCCCCGTCCGGATTGTGGTCTAGCTGGGCATCGGCGCTCCCTCTACCCAGGACGCCGACTTTACCTAAGACGTGCGTGCAACAAACTTCAACTTCGCAGGTTTTTTTCCCCAAACCCCAGGTCTTACTAACCTGACGATCGTATTTAAAAGCGTCTTCCCGTACGCCCTCCCTATTTGCTTTTCCCGTAGTAGCGGGCACTAGTACTAGTTTACAACTCCGATCAAGTCCCAGGAAATAAAACGTAGGCGCAGCGGGATCCAGTGCACGAATCAAAGGAGAATGGGAAGCCAGAAACACGGGACCACTTCCGCCCACCGTACTTCCGGGCGGAGCGGAAGTGACGCACCAGAAGAGGCTCTGGGGCTGGTGAGTAGTGGGCGCGTGAAAGGGTCCCCTCGCTGCAAGGATTCTAGGGTGCCCGCGAGGAGGAGGCCAGGAGCGACCTGGGCGGACACCCCCTTGGCTGCAGGAGGGGGCGACGGCCCTGATGCTAATGTCCTGGAAAAAGCCTTGAACCATGCGTGCGTCAGAGCCAGACGCGAGTACAAAGAGAGCGCTCGTGCAGCTTGAAATTAGCAAATGGCTCTTCAGAGGGCTAAAGAGAGCCCAAGATTTCGACTCTGGGCTTGAAACAGCTCAGTCTCTCCATTGTCTCAGAAGACAGCTTTCCAGTTCTCATTCACACTAGCGCGGCTTCACTTCAAGTTCCTGGGAGTGGACGGGTGTAGGATTGGCGACGGAGTCCTCTCAGGGTCTCAGGAGAGACCCATTTTATTTCAGATAATATTTTGAATGTATCCGTATTGTGTCAGAAACACAGACGGACACATTCATGCCCTCTCACGATAGAGGTTGATTGAGTAACAATAAAATCAATCACAAGGTTCCTCAGCACTGTTGGTAGCAGCTTGATAGCTGGATGAGGCCAACACATTTCCTTTCTTCAAAGCTACTATTAACTCTCAGATTACACATCACACAGTAACTATATCTGTCTATTTTGAATTGTTTGGTTGTTTTGAGTCTCTGCCCTCCCGCTATCCAGACACAGAATATGTAGGTGAATGCCCTACATACAGCAGTTAGTGCTTGTTCGGGGGCAGCTCTGGCCTTTTCTTGTCTTGACGCTGCTCATTTGTGAAGTGACCGGTTTGCCTCCATTTCTTGCTCATGCACTCAGTATTTTAAGTTTTAAATAATGTCTGTGACAGGGTCTTATGTAACCCAGGCTGGCCCTGAACTGCCTGGATAGCTGAGGGTGACTTTGAATCTCAGATCTTGCTGTTCCTACTTCCCCAGTGTGACCACACCCAAGGGCCACCACACCCAGACATGTACCACCATAACCAGTTTACATGGTGCCGGGGGGCTGAACTCTTATGCATGCTAGGCGAGCATTCTATCAGCTGAGCCACACCTCCAGCTCCTTAAACATGTTCGTCTTAAGTATACGTGTATATATTCGTGTGTGTTTGTGAGTGTGGCGTAGAGATACAGGCTATTCGTGTGATGCAATGATGGGGAGGGCAACAAGGATGTAAGAGGTGATGAGCGATTGTATTTTATCAGGCTTTTCCAGGGGACATACTAATGCCATTGTTTCTCTAGAAGGCTGTGAGGTAGGTGATGTGGGATGTCCTTCTGTCTGTGTGTGGCTTTTATTGGTTGATGAGTCGAGTTGTTTCGGCCAGTGGCTTAGCAGGGTAAAGCCAGACAGTGAGCACCAATTTGTAAACAGAGACTGCTCATTCGTTCTCAGGCTACCCAGACCCGAATAATCACACAGAAACTATATTAGTTACAACACTGTTCAGCCTACTAGCTCAGGATTCTTATTAACTAACTCTTACATCTTAAATTAATCCAGTTCTATTAATCTACGTGTCATGTCTCCATTTTGTATATGAGAAAATAAGTTAAGCCGGGTGGTGTTGCTGCACGCCTTTAATCCCAGCACTCAGGAGGCAGAGGCTGGTGGATCTCTGTGAGTTTGAGGCCAGCCTGGTCTACAGATCAAGTCCCAGGACAGCCAGGGCTACATGGAGAAATCCTGTCTCAAAGTCAACCCCGAAGTTAAGAGGTCAAATGAGTTAGCTGAGCCCAACCTGCTGTGGATGGGCAGAGCCACCATTTGAATCTGGGTCTTGGTGACAGCTCTTACTCCAGCTTTAGCCTCATGGGGCAGAACGGAACTGTACGGAAAGACCACTTCCTGTGTTTTGACTCCAGGCACCGTTTCACCTGGTTTCTGTATGCTGCTGTCTGCACTCCGGCTCCCTACCAGCATCAGGCTCACCCCGTCCTGGGTCTGCGGTTCTTCTCGTTCCTTCATGGATCTGAAGTCCCTCCTTTCCTCCCTAAATGACTTTGCGTCCCTCTCCTTTGCCGAGAGTTGGGACAACGTGGGGTTGCTGGTGGAGCCGAGCCCGCCCCACACCGTCCGTACACTCTTCCTGACCAATGACTTGACCGAGGCGGTCATGGACGAGGCTCTCCAAAAGAAGGCAGATCTCATTCTCTCCTACCACCCGCCGATCTTCCGCGCCATGAAGTGCGTAACTTGGAAAACCTGGAAGGAGCGCCTGGTTATCCGGGCCCTGGAGAACAGGGTCGCCATCTACTCTCCCCACACGGCCTATGATGCTGCACCCCAGGGAGTCAACGCCTGGCTGGCCAAAGGGCTCGGTGAGAAAACTTATGTCCTTCCCTATTAATGATTTCCCTACAAATACTCTGAAATTTTAGACTGTCTTCCTAGTAAAGTTTTAAATTGTTTTTAGGGGAAACGGGGTTTTCTCTTTTATAGAGTACTAAAAAGTAATGTGTTGCTTAAATTTGGTAGTTAAATTTCATTTGAAAGTGTACTTATTATTTTTATATCTGTTGAGTGTTTTGTCTGCTTGTATGTAAGCGCACTACATGTGTGCAGTGCCCATGAAGGCCAGAAGAGGGTGCAAGATTCTCCAGGGTTGGAGTTACAGTCATTTGATATAGGGCTCTAGCAGGCTCGAGCCTGGCAAACATGGGGTCAGTAGGTTTTGCCTTTTACCCCCTCCCCCTTGCTGTTTGTTAAATGACATCTCTAAAGCTAGCCCTTGAAATCCAGTCCCTTATTTGGCCACTGACTTTACTCCGAAGACAAAACACCAGGGTCCAGCAATCAGAATTCATTATTTGGCTAACACGGCCAATCACGATTTACTAACTCACCCTAGCACAGACTCCCCCCTTTTCTCCCGAAAACCTACTCCTGTGCTGGGTGGTGGTGGCCCACGCTTTTAATCCCAGTACTCAGGAGGCAGAGGCAGGAGGATCTCTGAGTCTGAGGCCAGCCTGGTTTACAGAGTGAGTTCCAAGACAGCCAGGACTGTTACACAGAGAAACCGTGTCTCGAAAAACCAAAAACCAACCAAACAAACAAAAACAACAACAACAAAAAATCCATTCCTGCAAAGAACCACCTACTTTCTTGCCTGTACTGGCTGCTGCTCTTGCTGCTTTGGTGGCAACCCCGCCCAACCCCTCCAGAGTAATAAATCTCCTCTGTGCGGAGAATTTGGTGTAGGTATGTCCTGTACCGACTTCGAGAGGGCCAACCTTCCTTACAGCTGTGAGCTGCTATGTGGGTGCTGGGAATTGAACCCAGGTCCTCTGCAAAAGCAAGAAGTGCTCTCCACCACCGAACTAGCTCTCTGGTCTGAGTTTCATTTGAAAAATGAACTATTGGGGATGAAGAATTGGCTCAGCAAGTAAGAACACTGTTCGTTGCTCTTAACAGAGGACCTGGGTTCCCAGCACCCACATGGAGGCTCACAGCCATCAGTAACTTGGTCCCAGGGGAAACAACGCTCTCTTCTGAGCTCTATGGGCACACACGATATATACACATAATGCAGGTAAAACACTCATGCACATAAAATGATGAAACAAATAAATCTAAACAAAATCTTTTTAAGAAAAAGGAAAATAAACATTGTAAACTAGCCTTGGTGTGGCATAAGCCTAGACTCCAAAACCTTATACTTTAAACATTCAGGAAGCTGAATCAGGAGAGTTGATTTAAGGCCGGTCCGAGCTATTTAGCCAGACGCTGGCTGTTCATATCATCCCACCAAAACCAAAACAGAAGCAAAATGAACCGAGGAACATTTTTGTTGTTTGTACTGGGTCTCAGGGTCTCAATAGCTCAGGCTGGCCTTGAACTCTAGGTAGAGGATTGTCCTGATTGGCTTTTATAAAAGGCACCTTGAGAAGGAAAGGGTTTGTTTCCTCTTCAGTGTAACAGCCTGTCATAAAGGGAAGTCAGGGCAGGAACCTGGAGGCAGGAGCTCAAGTCGAGGCCAAAGAGGAACACTGCTGACTGGCTTGCCCCTCACAGCTTGCTTAGCCTGCTTCCTTATGGAACCCAGGACCACCTACCTACTCAGGGTCCTGGGTCTTCCTACATCAACACTTAATCAAGAAGATGCCCCTCAGACTTACCTATAGGCAATATGATGGAGGTATTTTTTTTTTCAGTTGAGGTTTCTATTTCCCAGATGACCTTGGCTTGTGTCAAGATGACAAAACCCAGCCAACACAAGGAGACTAAGACATCACTTGGGATGAGCAAGCGGAGCATGGGTCTTCGCTGCTAAATGTCTTCATGATTGTTCAGTCAGACGGCACAGAGTCCACACCCCAGCACGCGCAGGAGATGCTGGGCAAAGTCGTGTTACATGGGTTCGCTACATAGACACCCAGGCTTTGCTCTGGTTTGTTGTTGTTTTTATTTATTTATCTTTGTTATTGTGTGACTATGGGCGCACACAGTTGTGGAGGTCAGGACAACTCTCAGGAGTGGATTCTCCCCCCTCCCACCGTGGGTTTCTGGAAGTGAACTCAGGTCCTTAGACTCACGTGACAGTTACCTTTACCCAGTGAGTCTTCTGCCCTCCCCGACCTTACCTGGAGAAGGGCCTTACTTTGTCCATCACTCTGGCCTCAAACTGGAGATCCTCCTGCTTCAGTTTCCCAGTGCTAAGGAGAAGCATGCCGACCACACCCTGCACAGCGTCAGGATCTCCCCGGATGCTTGCATCCAGCACAGTCAGGATTCTGGTATTTATTTCGGGCTAAAGCAATTGTGTTGTTGTTTTGTTTTGTTTGTTGGATGTTTTTTGTTTTGTTTTTGAGACAAAACACAGTCTCCCGGGGTAGTCTTGGCTGACCAGGAACTTACTCTGTAGACCAGGCTGGCCTCCAGCTCCTGGAGATCCACCTGCCTGTGCCTCTGCCTCCCCAGT